CAATGACAACCCTCTCATCATTGATGTTTCTACCTCTCCCCCTCTCCTTTCCTCTCTGAAATCAATAAAGATATGTTTTTTAAAAAAACACAAAAAACGTAAAGCTAAATATATTTTAGCTACTATTATTCTAGTATGAAGCAGAATAAGCTAGACAATAAGCTTTGCTTTGATGAGTTTTAAGTCCTGGCACTAATTTCCATGTAGGCAGGTTCTTATTTATTCTTCTTAGCTCAAAGCTGACCTTATGGCCTTAAATGGCTCTACATCACCTGTGGTTTACCAACTCAAGGTCCCAGAGACCCTTTCACGAGGTCTACAATGTAGACGCTATTTTCATAATCATTGCAATGTTAGTAATTCTGACTTTATTAATAATGGTATAACTAATTTTATAATAATACTAATGGTCTAATGCTATTTTCATTTTTCACTATGCCAACGTCATGGTGGGCAACACTACTGAAACCTTAGCATGAATCAAAGCAGTGGAATCAACGTGTATTGGTGGATGTTATCCTTTACAACCATGTGCTATGAAAGGAAAAAATAAATAAACCTAGTTTCACTTAAGAATGTGCCTGATGATAACAGTACTTTTACTAACTCCTGACCCTTCAGTACACATCTTTTTAATATTCCCTGTGATGGAATGAGAAGTACCCACAATGCACTTCTTTTTTTGTTTTAAATATATCTTTGTTGATTTCGGAGAGAGGAAGGGAGAGGGGGAGAGAGAGAGAGAGAAACATCAATGATGAGAGAGCACCATTGATCGGCTGCCTCCTGCACGCCCCCTGCTGGGGATCGAGCCCAAAACCCAGGCATGTGCCCTGACCGGGAATCGAACCGCGACCTCCTGGATCCTAGGTGGATGTTCGATGGCAGAGCTATGCCTGGCCGGGCCACAATGCACTTCTGCTGCGTAGTTAACTACAGTGGCTGTCTTGAGATAAAGCATTTGTACCACCATTTGAGTTATGAGCTGAACTAGCCATGGTTTTCACGGAACAGCATTTTTACTTAAGAATGACTGACAAACTATGGTATTCAGATTTGAGTATTTGGCAGGCATTTTCTCAAAGATTAATGAAGCAAGTCTGTCACTTCAAGGAAAACAATGACAATATTGTTACCAATAATAAAATTGGAGCTCTTAAGTGGAAATAAAAATTTTTGGAAACTCATATTCGCTTCAATGAGCTTGATAGTTTGCCAACGCTAAAGACTTTTCTGATGAGATCAGTGGTGACATTAATGTGATTTTTAAAATATAGTATAATTACATGACAATATTTGGAAGATCTGCATAACTCACTGAACTGATATTTTCAAAATGACTAATACATGCTGTTATAGAATTGATTATCCATGGGTAAAAGATCCATTCAAAGTGGAAGACAGATCAATGGATTTCCTTCATACAGTTTTAATATTACAATTAACCTTTAAGAAGCTGCCACTATATAGGATCCTCAAATTCAAGAAAGGTAGCCAAATACCTTTTTGGGAAGATGGGATGCAAGTCTGAATCAAGGAAAAATAAATAGCTGAAACCCCTTTTGATCAGGAATTCTGTTTCCTCTTGATATGTGTGTCCCTATAAACAGATTAGGGAGAATCCTGTCCTTTCCTGAGCAAAAAAAAGGAATTGCAACTGGATCTCACCGTGGGCCCACAGTGCTGCTCAAGAGGGAATGATAAAAAGTATTAGAACACTACATTGCTGTCATATTACGGTCAATTTCCAAAATTCAGCTCTAAGATTGATGTGGGAACCCCTCTATTGTCTGTCTCCTTTCCAATAGACAAAATGAACAAAGCCAGCCCTAAGGCTCAAGGCCTTTCAGAGTCTCACCTTCAGTTTGAGGGTAGAAAGTGAGGTATAGATCTGAATATTGGTAGGCTCTGACGTTTACTTTTATTTTTTATTTTTATTAAGCCTCACCCTGAGGATATTTTTTCCATTGATATTCAGAGAGAGTGGGAGGAGAGGGGGGAGAGAGAGAAACATCGATGTGTCTTGATTGGTTGCCTCCTGAACACATACCGACTGCCTGGGGATCAAACCTACAACCCAGGTACGTGCCCTTGACCGGGAATGGAACCTGAGACCGTTGGGCGCTCCTGCAGACACTCTAACCACTGAGCCACACCGGCCAGGGCATAGGCTCTGACTTTAACACAAGCCATGCAAAACTGACCCATTTCAGCCTCTTGTCCTGAAATTTCCATTTCACTGTGATGAAAAGACTCAAGGTGTGATCTAACTCAAAAACGGGTTGTTATCCAAGAGGAAAGGGAATGAATAGGGGCCGATTCCAGCTTCAGAAAGGATAGTTTCTGAAAATAGGAGACCGAGCATCACCAATGAGGTCAGAGCAAGAGAGCTGACTGGAATCACCCAAGTAGGCTCTTCAGTCCTTTTGATCAGTGCAGACAAGCTTCCCTAATACCACCTTCTATTTCGACATAGGCCCTCTAGGTCACAAAGTACCACTTATCTTCCTCTGGACTTCTCCTGTGAAGAGAGTCAATAGTAATAATTAACCTGAACCTGGAGTCAGCCTGCCTGGACCTGATCCTGCTGTAATGACCTGGGCAGGTGACTGCATCTCTGGAGGCCTCAGTTTCCTCCTCTGTAAAATGGGAAGAGGGACAAGCGCTCACTGCACAAGGTCCTTGGGAGGATTATCTAAGATAATGCGGATAAACCGCTTTCACGCCAGACGTGGCACCTACTGAGCACCTAACGAACAGAAGTTATTATTTAGGGACATTGCCTCGCCCCACGGTCTCCTCTGGGAGCAGTGTTTTTCGTTATTTCTCTACACAACTCCTTTCTTCCAGGGCTATTCTTCCCGAGGTTCTGGTCCCTTAGATCCCTGAGTCATCACCGTAAAGATGCCGGGTTTCTGAGCTCATCGCTTCTCCTGCTCTCTAGGGCTCCCTCTCCTGACGGCTTAGCCCGCGTGGGGGCCCAGACCTAAATTCCGTGACTGGCCACCTGTCCCAGAGGAGTGTCCCCAGTACCCCCGGAGACCACCTGAGACGCTGCGACAAGGCTGCGAGCCGCCCGAGACTCCGATGCGCCGCAGCCCCGGAGAGGGAGCGAGGCCCGGGTCCAGCCGGCGCCCCCGTCGGAGGCCGAGGCCGGG